TTTGAAACCGTACTGAGATTTCGTTCATATCAATGATGGTGTAATTCAAATAAATTTTGATTGTAAATGATCACTTCGTATAGTTTTAATTTGTAGAACTAGAAAGTTACTGTGAATATACTGATGAATTTGTAGATGAAATGTTAGTTACATCAGTGAATCAATCCTATTAACCATTAGTAATTAGTATGTGATATTGTAGCTGTTCATTTTATCTGTCATATTGCATTATGAAGATGATTCCCAGTACAGATGAGTATTAGCTTATGTACTATCAAAAATCCTGAAGTTAGACATTTAATCTGTCATAGGTGCAAACTCTTTAAAAGTTCTCACTGTTAGTCAGTCAGTAACAACGTAGAAATTCGTACGTACGTACATCAGTTCGAGTTGCCACACCACATTAGCACAGAGATGCGGTGGTCGATTCAAATCCCGTATTGGTAGAGGTAGCAAGAGTATAAGCAGTAATCGGGAAGATTAGGGTTTGGAGATGTTATTTAAAGAGTATAATCCAGTGAAACAAATTTGGAAAGAGGAAAAAAGGGACATGAAGAATTCAGAAGATTAGAATTTAGGAGAACACAGAGAGTGGATGCACCTGCGCCATTGCAAACGATTTTGAGCCATGTCATTCAGGGTCTCTAACCATCGGTTGTTATCATCTCGCGGTCCCCAACCAGGTAGTCTACACCTCCCAACATGACTCAGTCCACTTGTCAGTGACTTCATATATTTGTGCCATGTTTTGGTTTGGCCGCCCCTAGCTTTCTTCCAACCTACTCCTATAACACTGAACATAGCACGTCGAGGTAGTCGGTGGTTAGGCATACGTAAGACGTGTCCCAGCCATCTCAACTGATGAAGTTTCACTACTTCATCAATTGATTTTCCGTCCTTACCTAGTACCCGTTTTCTAACAACTGTGTTACTTAATCGATGGTCCCATGATATACGAGCAATGTTTCGAAGACACCTATGATCGAATACTAGTAACCTACGAATATCCTCTACTCTTACCGGCCATGTTTCACTGCCATAAAGTAGGACGGGACGAACTTCTGCACAGTAAACCCGTCCTTTGGTTGATAGACGGATATCTCGCCTACGCCATAAATGACGCAAGTTGGCAAAAGCTAGTCGAGCCTTCTGAATCCGTGCTGAGATTTCGTCACACACCAGGCCACAAGGGCTGATGAGACTTCCAAGATAAGTGAAGCGGTCGACACACTCAACTACTTCACTCCCTATCACTAGTTCGGGTGTCGATGTAACCCAATCCTGAAGCAACATTTTGCATTTTGAGGGAGAGAATCGCATCCCGAACATGCTTGCATTGTTGCTTAGAGTGGTCATAAGACTCTGCATTTTGTCAGCGTCTTCGCCAAATAAAACTATGTCATCTGCATATTCTAAGTCAACAAGTGAACCTCCCGGTAGAAGTTCAACCCCTGGAAATCTAGATGAGGAAAGTGTTATCTCTAGAAGTACGTCCACGACAAAGTTGAACAAGAATGGGGAGAGTGGACAGCCCTGACGAACACCACTTGAGGTAATCAATTCTGATGACAGTTCGCCATAAGCTCTCACTCTACCAGTTGTGTTCGAGTAGAGAGCCTTTATAAGGTTAATGTACTTCTTTGGTACTCCTTTCAGTGACAAACACTGCCATAGAACCTCACGATCAACAGAGTCGAATGCCGCCTTAAGGTCGAGAAATACTACTATTGTGGGGCGTCTGAATGTGTGTCTGTGTTCTAGAACCTGACGTAGTGTGAATATCTGATCTATATAACCACGTCCAGGTCGAAAACCGGCCTGGTTTTCTCTAATCTGCTCTTCACGAGCTTTGATTAGGCGTCGAAGTATTATTATTCACTCACTGTTAACTACAAACAAGATTGATCCATAAAGATTCTAGGTTCCATTATCAAGCATAATAATCATTAACTGGAGAATTTTAACTGACAATGGAATTCGCTTACAGAATGAGAGGTTTATGTAGACTGGTTCGTTCAAAGATCAGTTACAATACAAACTAACCTTAAATAGATATGGATTTTGGAAATCATTAAGCTTTCAATAGTATCATGATCCACAGTATCCAAGTCTGACATTGTTACACAAATTTTCTGTATTCAAGCCATCAACCGATTAATGAGTGAGAATACTAAGTAAAAAGAAGGAAATTTACTGAGCCAAATCGAACCGAATTCATAAACACTTACTCATATATTTATATGTCAACTCCTTTAATTTTTATTTATTTTATTTTTTAACACATAGATATTGGTACAAGGAGGCACCAAATAACATATGCACCACACAAATCTCATTTGATATGTGTAAGGGCTGTGATGCTGTGCAGGTTCCCAAACCGAACCACGTGGTTTTCTTAGGAGACCACAATCGGAGCCTTCGACCTGAAGATCTGATCCATAAAGGAGATGCAGTCTCATGGTAGCCGGTGACCAACGATTGGTTCGTACGTCTTTGGTTCCCTCAGAATACTGGAGCCCATGTGCACCAGTGGTTTGGAATCAAAGTTTTTCAACTCCCCTAGGCGGACTCTCCATGTCCACCAACCCGTTTAAAGCGTCGGACATTCACTTTTCATTCTCACAATTTCGTAAACAATATAGCGACTCACGTGCAAATGAGTTTAGTCTCATCTAACGCAGTTAAGCCCTTTTGCTAACTCATTTAACGGACAAAGTCATCCGCACTATAACAACTTATTGTACCCTTATTATTTTGTGCTTGTATGAAATACGTATGCTTGAATATTGCTTACGCCCTACGCATTTATTCACTCTGCTAGTCTTACTACTAACTGATTATTTGATTCGATTACTCATTCATTTCACTAGGTATATATATGTCCATGTTATTCATACTCACTCACTCACACACTCTCGTCCCGCTCTTGCTCTGGCTCTCGCTCGCTTGCTTGCCTTTCGGCACAACTCTTCTATGCTTGTTTAACGCATCTGTACATTTGGATATATATGTGTGGTCTCGTAATAAACGTAATCAACACTTCGTATTTGCCTTCTGATTAATAAACTGTTGGGACGTTATATAGAACGGTTATCAAGACGAGCTGTATACGAAGTTTAAGGATTATATCGAATACCGACCACCACCACAACACCCCCGCCACGAGAAGGCAGTGAGTAGGAATTCCCTGTCAGTGGTTGTATGCAAGTGGCCATGTGAGAGCATTTCGAGAGGGAGAGCGAACTTTCCTTACTCTCGGCCGTACCAGGGTATTTGAGGGTAAAAGTCACACGACTGGAACATGATCTCAATTCGAAGTGATTGCAAACACACTGCCTCCAGAGAGGAGAAATAGCCTTATTTTTTTAAGGAGTTGATAATGACATCAACTCCCTAGAAAATAAGGCTATTTCTTGACCAATCACATTTATATGTCATTGGGGGGATTTTTAATTAGCACAATGTTGCCTATTCGTTTGACATCGTTTCATTTGCCTGCTTTACCATCTTTCCCTGCTGAGAAATAGATTCAGCTGAAAGCATTGAGATAGACGCACATCAGACAGTTATTTCTTCTTAGTATATAACACTTACAATCTTAAAACAGATCTAACTCAAGAGCTTCAGATCATAAGGTGAATATTTAATGTTTAGATCATTTCAGATTCCAGTCATTAGTGTACACTATTTATTAGTTTTATGTTAGAACAGAATTATTGTCTAGTTCTACTTGGTCATTATTAAGTTGCAACTCATTTAATTCATTTTTCATATTTAGTTACCTAACTAACCATAATATTATATCTGGAATATTTCACTGTACAACCTACAAATTCTGTTTTCATTCTATCAACTTTAACAGCAGTTTCTATGATCCCGCCTCGCGAGGATCGAACCCATGACCGATCAGTCGCGGCTCACGGGCGCTTAACCACTAGACCACTGAGCCGGTTGGCATCTAACAGTGTTAAAGTCTCACTTCAACTAATCCACGAAATTGGGCAACATATGCACCATTGTTTTCAGTGAGTGACTATGTCACCACTAACCCGGTTGGACTCCACTCGTCACTGCTTCTCATTAAAACTCCAGGAAATACCTCTTGAAGCCAGCCACTAGTGATCATATATTGATTACTATCAGGAGGGGTTATGGATGAGCACTGTTGAGGAGTCACACAATAGGATGAAACGGTCATCCAGTGCTTCCAGGTTTTTCATGGTGGTCTAGCTTCAATTGACTCATGATTCTAACTATTGAAATTACTACAATCTTCACAAAACCCCTTCTGATATTAGACAGAAGTTACTAATCACGTTAAAATGAATCATAATTTTTTCTTAAATTTCAGATTTATCCAGTTGTTTTTGTGTTATTTATATGCGTGTGTGTGTGTATGTGCATGTATGTGACAATGACATTTGCCAAATTTCACAGATAGTTATCTTGTCTGTTGTAAGTTGTTCCCTACCACTTTGAATGTTAAAAAAGAAAATAGAATAGGGATATGTAATTGAAAATGAATGATTCTTATTGCTACCGCCGCCGCCGCCGCCGCCGCCACCACCACCATCACCACCATCACTGCTTCCGTCATCCTTTTCATTACCAACATCATCATCGTCGTCATCCTTAGTATGAATCCATATTATCTGTGTAATTAATCAAGTTCAATATCTGTTTAAGTATTGAATGATACTAATCAATGATAATCAAAATCATTATCAATAGTACAAATTGACATTATCAATGAATGAAACACACAGAGAGAGAAAGAAAGAGCGGAAATGCTGAGATTAACTGATTTACAAATATTAAACTAATAATTACAGTCATATCTAATCGATCCGAGACTTTCCATTACTGGGAAAAAAAGGAAACTGGAATTATTTCCCAGACAAATTCAGTCAACTACAAGTCATTTGATTGTTTGTCTCTTTGTAATATTTATCGGTTATCTTCCTTCGTTTTAAATAAAACAACATGCACATACTACTAATATGAGTACTACTACTACTACTACTACTACTACTACTACTACTACTACTACTACTACTACTACTACTACTACTACTACTACTACTACTACTACTACTACTACTACTACTACTACTACTACTACTACTACTACTACTACTACTACTACTACTACTACTACTACTACTACTACTACTACTACTACTACTACTACTACTACTACTACTACTACTACTACTACTACTACTACTACTACTACTACTACTACTACTACTACTACTACTACTATGACTACTACTACTACTATAGTTATTCTGTATTGATTATGTCAAAATGTTTCATTCATTAAACAGATGTGACAAATAGCTTGTAGAACGGTTGTCTTTATTTCTTTTAATTTTCAATATGGTACAACATGTGTATAGTTTCTTTTTCTCTGCAATTGAATTAGTTTTGTTTATATGCACATGATTGAAAGTGTGTGTGTGTGTATATTTGTGGGAGACCAAGACAGGAAAGAGGGAGAGACAACGAGAGAGAGAGGGGGAGAGAGATGGAAGAAAGGTATTGGGTATGGAGATAAATTGTTCTAACATGTTTTTCTTTTATGTTTATCTGATTAAAATAGTAACAAAATAATTTATGAATGAAAATTAACAGAATGGGTTTTGTGGAGAGTTTTAGAAATTTCACAGGTTGAAATTATGAGTCAGCTGAAGCTAGACCACTATTGAAAACCTGGAAGCACTGGACGACCGTTTCGTCCTCGTATGGGACTCCTCAGCAGTGCGCATCCACGATCCCGTACCACGCGGGGCTCGAACCCAGAACCTACGGTGGCGCAACTTCGTGGATTGGTTGAAGTTAGACATTAACACCGTTGAACGCCGGCTCAGTGGTCTAGTGGTTAAGTGCTCGCGTGCGAAACCAGTAGGTCCTGGGTTCGAGCCCCGCGTGGTGCGGGATCGTGGATGCGCACTGCTGAGGAGTCCCATACCAGGATGAAACGGCCGTCCAGTGCTTCCAGGTTTTCAATGGTGGTCTAGCTTCAGCTGACTCGTGATTTCAATTTGTGAAATGAAAATTAAATTGATTGTTCTACGTTGACATGATTCATTTTAATGATGAAAACGATCATGAATTCTTTATAAGCGAAGATGAATAGTGACTACCAATGGAATTCAGTTTGAAGCGCGTTTTGTCCTATTTGGGACTCATCAACTAGTTGTACCTGCATCTCGGCGTTGATGTTCACTTAGGGACTCGAACTCAGTACCGTTCACTTCGAACGCTATCATATTATTCATTTAGCTACTGAGTTCTGATAGCCACCTACTTGTGCAATGGGGTGAAGATGAAATTCATTTGGTATTGTTAGTTTGAATCTTCCCATTGATGTTTAAGACTGCAGTTGATCAGTCTCTTGTTGGCATATGTTATGCATACTCCCTTGATATTACCTTAATTCACAAGCATTCTAAGCAAAAATGGATAGTGGCTACTAGTGGAATCCATTTTGACTCACTTTTCGCCCTATTTGGGACTAATCACCTGGATGTATCTGCTGTCATTAATTCTGTTTAGGTTAGATTAAGGAGGTTGTAAAGATAATTGAATTGAATCAAGACAATCATTTGAAGAGGTGAAAAAAGAAACACTAGATAACTTTTATATCACAATGTGGGTCTTTTCAGATACATGGATCGTAAAATCTTTCATTCTAATAACAAACAGAGTGGGGTTTTATGGAGATTTTACTAATTTAATAGTGATTTAACACTGCTCTCAGGTTTTCCATGGTGGTCTAGCTTGAGATGACTCAACTATTAAATTACTAAAATCTCTACAAAACCCCTCTCTCTGATTATAATCATCATATGCTCATTAGTAACTGTCTCTAAGAGGTATTTCCTGAAGTTCTAATGAGAAGCAGTGACCAGTGAAGTTAAGCCGCATCTGTTGTGTGATAGTAACTCATTGAGGAGGGTAGTGGACGGTAGTGCAATTTCGTGGATTGGTTGAAGTTAGACATCATCAACATTGTTAGATGTCGGCTCAGTGGTCTAGAGACTAAGCATTCGCGCGTGAGACCGACGGTGCTATGTTCGAGTCCCTTTAGTGTGGGATCGTGTATTCTTACTAATGAGAAGTTCCATACTGGAACGAAACGATCATCTAGTTCTTCCAGGTTTTCCATAGTGGTCTATCTTCAATTGACTCATCTGTTTATTGGGGACTGTCTACAAGAGGTCATAAAGTTTTAATGAAACCGAAAAAGTCAGTCATGTTGGAAGTAAAGCATTTATCACTGATGAAATGAGTCCCGTACAATAAAATGAACTGAATTTAAACGTATAAACTACTAGACACTAAGTCAGTGATTTGTATGTGATAAATTTGCGTTAACTCCAGAAAGTTCAATGTTCTATTCTCAGAAGAGTACTGTGTTATCAATCTTAAGGAAACCGAAATTTAACAGGCAAGGCTAAGTGGAAAGCAGGACCGATAAGGACTTAAGACTGCTCTTACGGGTTTATGCGTCATTTGTCCGGTTGATAAGTCACTGTTATCTAATTGGCGCTATCATCACATCATATATTGATAGGAGCACAAAGGCCACAAGTTCTGATCTCTAAGAGTAATTTAGTTCATTTAGAAATAAAGAATGTTGTCTATTAAGTGTTACCTAGCTGGGAACTTCATTTTATTGCTTCTTGTCAACTCTCTTCAATCATCTGACGTATATTAGAAATGTAAACCATTGGGTACTCACTTACTGATCTAAAGATTAAGAGCCTGTCTCAAGACTAGAAGGTATTGGGTTCGATCTCTATGCACTGCCGAAAAGTCTTATGAATTTTATGGAAACTTCAAATTATACAGTAATCTTTGAGCTGCAATAGTTTTTTCAACTGTCAGTTCATAATAGCTATCACATTCTAAGTGAGGTGTAGATATACAGTTGACTGATAATTGAATATTGACTAGTGTTGTGTTTGCTTAGTCTTTAGTGATGGCAAAATTCCATTGATCATTTTGAAATGTGGCCACTTGTCTAAGTGCCTTGTGATATTGAGAATTGCATTTTCGTGTTTAGTGATTGAAAGTAATCGAGAAGGAATCCTGGATCACAATTTTGACCATGTTGAAATTCACCAGGAAGAATTACCTGTAATTTTGAGAGCACATGAAATCGGTCACCATAACTCTGTCCTACCGGAGGTCATTCGCTGTCTGAATAGCTCAATCAGAATATCAAAAACTGTGAAACTGGGATAAAATGGATTCCAATCTCACTGAAAGCATTAATTTCTTCAAGAGAAGAATCGATCTAATCCTATTGTTCGATCAAGAAAGACACTGAATGAATACAACTGTGCCAATGTTAAACGATTTCAAATCATATCATCCAATATCTCCAAGCATAGATTAGAACTATTCTTTGAGTTTCAATCAGTGAACACTATTAATTAGTTATTTTAAAACTCTTTATGAATATAACAGGTATGAAGTGTACTATAATAAATATTATGGAAGATCACTAGATGGTGATCAATGTCATATGTGTCAGGTCCTTCTTAGTGCAGATCGAATCCCATCAATCCTGTTTCAATGTGGCCAGTAGTCAAGGTGACTCGATATTACATGCCTTATAGTTGAGAAAAGATGATAGTTGAATGTAGTCGTCAACAGCAAACTCTGGAACTAAATTTCGTGCTACTTGCCACTCATCATCAAGATGTACTTGTAATCTTAAAAGAAGGTTTATTTTGTATTTCATTGCAATATTCATTCATTAAAAGTATACCAATATTTCAATATTCAACGGTTAAGGTCATGATTCAGTTGAAGTTAGACCACCATGGAAAACCTGGGAGTACTGGACAGCCGTTTCGTCCTATTGTGAGACTCCTCACCAGTGCGCTCCACAACCTCGCCCCCTGCGAGACTCGAACCCGGTGCCTTCTGGTTCCGCGCGCGATCCGTTAGCCACTAGATCACTGAGTGACACATCCACCACTGTCTTCAGTGAGTTATTATCTCACAACAGACCTGGTTGAACTCCACTGGTCTTTACTTCACACTAGAACTTCAGGATATACCTCTTGAAGCCAGTCACTAGTAAGCATATATCGATTACTATCAGAAGGAGTTGTGCTTCCAGGTTCTCCATAGTAATCTAGTTTCAATGGACTCATGATCTTAACCATTGAAATTACTAATAATATCCACAAAATCCATCTGATATTTCAATATTCATTTAGAAATAATCAAATTTGATTAACCTACATTGAATTAATTAATTCATTCATTAATTAATTTACAAACTGGAGCAGATAAATGATTATCAACATTCCAATGAACCGTACAATGTATTACCTTCCCCCCCCCTTCCCTCTTCAATTCTGTTCTGTTTTAATGAAATTTACTATATGTGTGAATAGGCAAATTATTCAAATTCTAAACACAAATATGTAGATTCACATTCAATATCTACGTATGTAGAATACGAGGTCGTAGATGAGGTTAATCAATTTATATCTTGGTAAAATATAAAAACTATACAATTCACTTGGTGTTATTGTTTTACTTGTATCTTCCCATCGTTATTTAGGACTGCAAGTGATCAGTCTCATGTTGGCATATGTGAATTCTGTGCGGATTGCCTCGGTATTAACCTTAAGTTACAAGCTTTATAAGCAAAGATGGATAGTCGCTAGCAGTGGAATCCAGTTTGACGCGTGTTTCGTCCTATTTGGAACTCATCAGATCTCATGTGGGTACATATGCATCCTGTGAAAATGGCCTCGATATAGTCTTAAGTCATAAGTATTTTTAAGCAAAGATGGTTAGTGTCTAGTAGTGGAATCCAGTTTTACTTGCGTTTCATTCTATTTGGGATTCGTCAGCTGGATGTACCTGCATCTTAGTGTTGTTCACTCTAGGACTCGAACGCAGTACCGTCCGATTCATGTGCTATCGCGTTATCTACTTAGCTACTGAGTCCTTATAGCCATCTGGTTGTTTAATGTTGTGAAGTTTAAATGTATTTGTTGTTGAAGTGAACATCAACTGCGAGATGCAAGTACATCCAGTTGACAGGTCGTGAATAGAACAAAACACGCATCAAACTGGATCCCACTACTAATCATCATCTATCTCTGTTTATATGGTTGTTAATAGTCTTATTAATTTCTTTAAGTGAATGATCAAAATTTAGTTTTTATTTATCAACATCTTCGATTCAGAAAGGGGTTTTGTGGGTATTTAATAGTTGAATTCATGAGTTAATTAAAGTTACATCATCATGGAAAACGTGGAG